ACAATTTGTCTTGATAATGATGATGAATTTAGATCTCAAGCATTCGACAATTATTGTATATCAACTGGGATTGCTAGTGAACATTCGGTTGTACATATCCATACACAAAAAAAGTTTAGTGGAATCATCTATCAAATTTCTACAATTTATTGCTAGACAATTACTTACGAAAACAAAACTCTCAATTTCGATTTGGTGTCCACCATATTACATGCTGCATTATTGATTCGTATAAGACCAACAATTTATTATCAATATTTACTTTTACATCTTGCATGAACCAAATACTTTTCACTTACGGATTTTCGATTGTACTATCTAAATCCCCATTTCAACCCATAATGTATTGAAATGGGTCCCAATGAAAACTTGAGATTTATTTTAGTTTCGATTTATCATATATTATTAGGTACCTTGAACTTTTAATAGATAATTTCTTTACTGCATATTTTGCAGATTGTAATTTTGATTAAATGAATTTACAAGTTTTGGAGGGGTAAAACTACATCCTGAAAAATAAGATAAATTTGTTTGGATTGAAATAACTTTATTTTATTTTGATCCCCACAACAATTCATGTGAGCAAGAGGTTAAAAAATCATTCACTTGCAAATAATTGTAAATCAATTACCTATTATACTTGTTGATACAAAAAGTGAAAAGTCATATATATCAGTAGAAAATATTCCAGCAAAAAATGATATTCCTGTAGGATTTGTTGTAGCAAATGAATCTCAAACACGTTAGAAGCGTGCCCAAACAATTGTTCAAAAGATTTTGTACCTAGAAAACGAAAAATACAAAAGAAAAACCAACAAAAAGCTTTGAAAGAAATAATATTAGGAGACTGATAAAACAAATATTGAAAATATAATTCCTACAGAACCATAAGTGTCCGAAAATAATAAGATTTCAATAAATCATTTGTTTTTTTTCATAAATTATGGGAACGAAATAATATTATTATAGAAAATATTTTTGTTTTTAATATGGCTCTTGAAATTATGAAAAATGGTGATCTTGAACCACAATCTATTAAAGTGTTAACATATAAATGATTGGCCAATATAGAATGAAGCCATATAAGCGGAGTTGAATTTTTTAGAGAAACGAAATTTCTTTTTTTGACTTATAGTTCACACACCTGAAAATGTAATCTCTGTAGGATACAAGTGAATTTTGTTAAGGAAGAGAAGTTAAAATAACGAAAATATAAGATACAAAAACTGACTCGTAGTTTAAGATTTTTTACAAAAATCGGGAATCGATTATGAGGAAACATATTATCCCGTGATAGAAACCATCCCTTTTAGATTCTTTGATGGTGTTACAAAGACTCGATATGCGCATTATAGATGTAGTAACTGTCTATCTTTATGGATCACTTGACAATGACACATATATATATAAAAGTCTCCAAACGACTTAAAGTGCAAGAAATAAATGATACATGCTCAGGATCTACGTTCTTAATTTAAATTGCAAAAAATCATTATATGAATTGAAACAATCCTAACACATGTGGTATAATCGCCTTATCGAATATTTGTTGAAGAAGGATTATAAAAATGACAATATCTGTCCATGTGTTTTTATAAAAAAAAAAATTGATTTATAGTTATGACAATTTATGTTGATAATTTAATGATTTAAATTCAATTGAAACTCATGAAGAACTCAGCAAAATTGCAGATTATTTGAAAAATTGAATTTGAGATGAAAGATGTGGAAAAAAATGTAATTTTATCTTGGGTCGCAGATTGAACATTTCTTCAAAATGATTATTTGTTAATCAATCTTCATATACAGAAAATCTTTAAAAAAAAATTATATGGTTAAAGTATATTCATTGACATCACTTATAATTGTTCGATCATTTGATGTGAAAAAAGATCTATTTCATCTACTTGAAAATGGAGAAACTGTTTTGGTCCTAAAGTACCATAAGGGCTATGTTTGATATCATAGATTTTCCATGGAAAATGGAACTCATTTTCCATTTTCCATCTTTTGCCTTATTTGATAAGCAAAGTTTTCCCTAAAATTAATTTTCTTACTTTGCGTCACATGCTTACAATTTCTTTGATTTTGTGGAAAATAATTTCCCACCATTTTGGTGGGAATTGGTTTTCCAGATTTTTTTTTTTGTGACAATTAGAAAAAAAATCTAGATACAATGGTAAAAAAAATTTCACTTTTATTGACAATTTCTATACAAAACAAAGTCAAATGAATTATATTCGGTATGGTAATTTTTTTTGGGCAATTGGAACAAATTTTAAACCAAATGGTAGGAAAAATTATCACTTTAATGGATAATTTCCATAAAAAAACGAAGTCAAACGGATACCAAACTTTAAACATTTTTCAAGTGAAAAATTATACCAATCAAACACAATTAATTACAATTCCCAATAAAACAATTTCTAGACAATTCAATTTCCAATAAAACATTTTCTTTCCACCTAATTTTTACCTTTACAATCAAATGGACCATTCGTGTAATTGAAACATTAACCTATCTTTCAAATTGTACTCAATCCGATATAATTTTTTCTATAAATGTCCTTTCAAGATATAGCTCTACACAAATTCAAAAATATTGAAATGGTGTTAAAACACTTTTTTTTTTTATTACCTAAGAGGTACTATTGAATTGAAATTATTTTATTCACAAAGTTTGGGATCTTCTTTAGCTCCTGTTTGACACACATTCTCATCTCATTCTCATTTTTTCCTTTTTCTTCATTTTAACCACATATTCTCCCAATAATACACACAAATCTAAAACTTTTCATAACTTTTCCACCACACATTCTCCCATTAATCACCATTTCAAAAATTATATTCTCCAAAAAATGGATGTCAAACACCCTCTTAATGAGATATGCAAATTCGGGTTATTTCTATTATCCACATAAAGTTAAATTTCAAATAGAATATGTGTTTACACGAAAAAGAACAGTTATATCATGGAGATCTGTGATGCAAACCTTGATATCAACATTTTCCAATCATTCTGAAATTATTACAATTCTTAAAACAAGTTGAGAATATGTATGATTGAGGAATATGACTCATCATATCCAAACATTTTACAGATTAATTTCAACAAAAGATAGTCCAATAATTGTATAAGAAAATAATACAGCGTTTATTGCACAACTTAGAGAAGGCTACACCAAAGGGGATATGACGAAACATATTTCTCCAAAAATTTTCTATACATATGAATTTTAGAAGAATTGCAACATTGATATTCAACAATTTTGTTCAAATGATAATGTGATTGATTTGTTTACAAAAGTATCGCCCACATCTATATTAAAAAAATTGGTACAGAAGATTGGAATGCGTCGATTTAAGATATTCGGTGATTAACATTATGGAGGGTGGCTGTACTCTTTTTTCTCAGTCTAGATTTTGTCCCACTAGGTTTTAATGAGGCAGCATTTTGTTTATACTCCAAAATATCAACAATTAACTGTACTCTTTTTTCCTTTATTTGATTTTTTCCCACTAGATTTTTATCAAACAAATATTTTAATGAGACAGTTATTGTTCAAATAATCATCAAAGGGAAAATATTGTAAAATTATAAGATAATTATTGATGATTATGCAGTCTTATCATGATACATACATAAGTTTTATCTAGTCTATCAAAGGAGAAATATTGTAAAACTATAAGATAATTATTGATGATTATGTAGTCTTATCATGATACATGTATAAGTTTTATCTAGTCTAGAAAAACGTATTCTTCTTTGATTTGAATCCTATAAATACGAGACCTTTGTTCTCAATAAGCCCCCGTTTGGCACCCATTAATTTCTCTTCCTCATTTCCATTCTCATTCTTCATTTCAATCTCACATTCTCCAAATAAAATAATATTACACACAAATCAAAAACTTTTCATCACTTTTTCACCACACATTCTCACATCAATCATTGTTCTAAAATTTCTATTCTCCTCAAAATTAGATTCAAACACACCCTAAATAAACAATTTATTTTATAACTAAAGAATTAAATAAAATAATTTATTTTAAATTGTTTATTTTTTATAATATTAAAATAAATAAATTATTTAAAAAGAACAAAACAGGCCCAGACCGTCTGGGCCNAAAAAATTAATGTTGAGTGAGCGAATTGAAACTTTGCCCTAACTTGGGTGATAAATGTAATTCTTATTCTTTTTTCTTCGAATATACATAACTGTATAATATTATGCTCCTATTTGGTGGAGATTAAAATTTGATTTGTAGCAATTTTGATAAAAGTTGATGAATTATATTGTTGAAATTTGTATGTGAATAGGCCCTGTTTGGGAGCCATTTTCTTCCCAAAAGTAGAAGAAATATTACCGTTGCAAGATGGGCAACCTACCATGTTTGACTGCCTTTGTGTGTAGTGGGGCCCGGGTGTGCGGAAAATAATGGTACAAAAAATTCTAGAAATTGGAAAACTGTGATTTCAATTTTTTTTAAAATACATTTTAATACTCTTTTATTTTTTAACCGGACATTTCAATAAAGTAATATTACAAATAAATCCAATTTTTTTGTAATTTTTTAACGATATATTTTTTATCAATTTACTATTTCAAAATGCATTTTTAACCTTTTAACGGGGAGCAAAGAGGCTCGTAGTCCCTTTTTGGTACCCATTATTCAAAAAAAAAAATAAAAAAATTGAATAGTATTTTTAAGAGAGGAAATTATTTTGAATTTATCTTCAAAATATTTTACTGTGTGAACATGTAATGGAAAATGTTATTATAACAAAAAAAAGTTTTGAAACAATCAAAACCATGGGCATATTTTTTCCTACTTTTAACATCATACATATCATAATAATTTATATTTTCAGCAAAATTTAACCAAACCGACATGGACTTGAAATTCTAGGTTTTGTGAACTGAATGCGACCAAAAGGCCATCTCTCCCACCTCTTTCCTTGTTCCCTTTCCATTCATCTTCTCTCTCGCGCTACAAATATGAAAGCACCGCTCAAAGTTTCTTGCAAATTCTCCTTCTTCGAAATTTCTGATTTTTTCAACCTTAAGTTTGTTCTTCTTTGAATTTTTTTTTTGCGTCTGAGTTGGTTTTCTATTGACTCTTTTCTGTCAACACAAGAAAGTAAAGTCGCTTGAATTAGCGTAAATTGTTATTTGACAGGTATTTTCATTCTCTTACCTTGATCAATGGGTCCATCTCCTAGTATTAGCTAGATTCAGGTGATTTATTTTTTGCGGTTTTTTGGTTTTCAAGAGTTGTTCAACAATCATTTTTCTAAGCTCCGTAAATGGAGATGCCTTGTTTTCGTTTCTAAATTGTTTAATTATTAAAAGTATTAACATCAATGGGCTTAATAAATTTATTGAAAAGGAGAATGAGTATAGTATCTTTATTATTATTATTATTTTTTATGTTTAAGCTAATGTTATACCAGATCGTGCATTTAATGAAATATTTGTTTTTTGTTTGCTTAAGGTAAATATTTGGGCTCAAAATGTTTTAACGTTATTTCTGGATTTTCTGTTGGAGTTGAATTTTTATATGTACTTTAAGATCCTGAAATCTGATTTTTGTTCTGATCTCTTCCCTCGGTAATTTCTTTTTTATCAGATTCAATTTCATTTGGAGAATCGCCTGTATCAATGGTGAGTATATTGTGTGTGTGTGTGTGTGTGTATTTTTTATTTTTCTAGTTTTAATTGTCCACAAAATAGAGAGAAAAAAAGAGAGCTTTTATAAATAGCCGATGTTTTCTGTGATCCATCTGTACCTTTGTCGTGTTGTAATCAGGGGGAAGCTCCAGCTTTCTTAGTAGATGATCTTCAGAAAGATTTAACAAATGGATTTCATTTAAAATTGAAAGGCCATGAAACGGCTATTAACATTGGCCACAATAAAACGGTATGATAAATATACATACTGAATATATGTTCTCTGATGATTTTTTATTTTTCTTGCACACAACGGAAAATTCTTGGTTACAAGTGAGTCTTTTGCCTCTCTACTTTGATTCAGTATGTCATTGCTGGGATGGAAAATGAATCGACTTCGAACATTGAAGTTCGAATTTATGATAAATATACTGATGAATGGTGAGCTTTTGATATGGACTCTAATTTATTTAAATTATTATTAGTACAGAGGTGGTGTGATTGAAATTTCGATAAAGACTTCTCAATAAAAATTTCAGGGTGATCCCTATTGTGTTGGGAACAAAACCCAAGTCATCAAAGGGCCATACAGCTGTTCTTTTGGATGAAGACAAGATTTTGGTTATTAAGGGAAATTCCACTTCTGATGATTGCTTTTGGTTTCTCGAGGTTGGTACCTCTTGTCTTGCTCTTTAAAAATGGATAAAAGCACAATTATTCCGTATTTCATTGATGACTTAAGAACTTACGACGACTCAATTCTATGACAAATTGAAATATTCCATATTTTTCTCTCTGCGGACCTTGACAAAACATGAATGAAAACCAGATGTTCTTGAATTTTAAGCCTGATAAATACCTAATTCCATGATCTTATATTATTATTGTCAGTTTTGTTCTAGTCTTTAAACCAGGAATCTTTCTTACTTATTCTGCAGGTCAATACTGCATTTGTTAGAGAACAGAAGAAGAGATTTGAGACTGATGTGGTTGCTTGGAGTAGAGGAGTTATTGGTGAAGCTGAAATACCCATTGTAATTAGCGGTCCTTCTGGAGTTGGTAAGGGTACCCTAATTTCTAAACTGATGGAAGAATTTCCATCAATGTTTGGATTTTCAGTAAGCCACACAACCCGTGCTCCAAGGAGCAAAGAGCAGAATAGGGTGCATTACCATTTCACTGAACATAGTATCATGGAGAAAGATATAAAGGATGGAAAGTTCCTTGAGTTTGCATCCGTTCATGGAAATCTCTATGGAACCAGTATAGAAGCTGTCGAGGCAGTCACGGATAAAGGAAAGGTATATGTTTTGCTCCCTTGAAAAGGATCCATTTTGTGCAGTGTGTATAGCTCTTCTGAACATTACCAAAATAAGAGAGAGGGAGAAGACTTTTTCCTATTGAATTGTCAGTTTATACTGTAACATTGACGCAAGTGTTATCCATTTATATTGTTTCTCTATCTTATGAACTTAAGGGAGTTTCGTGTTATGAAATGTAGAGATGCATCCTCGACATTGATGTTCAAGGAGCGAGGTCTGTGAGGGGTAGTTCTCTAGAAGCCATTTTTATATTTATTAGTCCTCCCTCATTTGAAGATCTTGAGAAGCGCCTGCGTGCAAGGTGCGTTATTCTTGAATAGAATTAATTAAGAAAAAGAGATTGTACTGTCTTGTCTAATCCTGTGTACCAAAGATTTTCTCCCCTTGCATGATTTTTTGTTGATGAAAGTTCACCAATTCTGGGAACAGGGGGACAGAGACAGAAGAACAGATCCAAAAGCGGCTCAAAAATGCTAGGGCGGAGATTGAACAAGGAAACTCACCAGGCCACTTTGATTGTATCTTGGTGAATGATGACCTTGAGACTTGTTACAAGAATCTTAAGGTGATTCTCACTTTGCTCCTTGTACATCATATATCACATCTTAATGGCATCTTCTAAAGTTTTATCTGCAAAGAACCAAAAAAGAGTGACATCTGAGATTATATTTTTTTAATGTGTTATAGAAATTATTGGGCCTTAGTGAGGGTGCTGAGACCCCACACAAATTATGTAAGTGACTCAATCAATCTATGGTTTCATCTTATTGACCTCTTTTAATTCCTAGTATAAAATTGGTGCATCTTAAAATTGATCTTTTTTGGAGCTTTTATTATTCAGTGCCAGAATCGGTCGAAATACATCTGGAGCATAGAGTTTCGAAAATTGATCAGAAGATCCTCATAAACTGTGGAAATTCAGAAGAAAACTCGTATAGAAACATGTATGTTATATGCAGCTGGACATTTAATAGTTTCTGGCTTTTTATATTCTAACTTCTCAAGTCTATCATGTAGGTTTTTGCTGGATTTATCTGCAATTAAAGGTGGGGCACCAGGACGGACAAGGGGGTTGAACTTGCTCACTGTCGAACCATCCATAAATGGCACCAAAATGCTAAGCTAACGTCTCCAGCATCTCCACTAACGTTCTTTTCTTCCAGAGTATTGTTTCTTTTTATTTCTTATGCTTGCTTACCTTGAAAGTGATTGAAGTTTTAAGATTAAATCTTTGAGCAGCAAGACAATTTGAGGGTATCGGACACAAGAGATAATATGCAGATCTAACATATCAACTGTTTCACTTCCGATATGGTAATGAAAGAGAGGGCAAGTAGATTGACTAGTGGAGCTAACGTGTTAATTCTCGTTAAATTGTGACGGGAAGTTGGAAATTGAAAAACAAAATTAGTACTCTATTGGAAAGCTGCTCATTTGAATGTTGTCTTGCTGTTCATTATATATCTGTGGGGTTGTCAACATTTTAAGTATCTAATAACTGCATATACCATGAATGTTTCTCAAAAGATTGGTAAGATACAAGTATTTAGCCAACTTTGCTTTAAGCCCAGTATTTCAGACCTGAATTATGATATTCATGTTAAGTGATGATGATCATCAATCCATGTAGCAGTGAGGTCTCACATTGTTCAATGATGATGGAATGCATTTTTCTTCAATGGACAATGTAGCAGTAACCTCGTTTCCAGAGACTTATAATGATCATCATTTCTTGAGACAAAAACATAACAGTGTCTGTTACTGTGTTTTCGATTAAGTTCCTGAGGCTTGAGACTTGACGGACAACTGCATGTTTCATTTACATAAACATGTTCTGCCTTTGTCCTCTGCTCAACTGTATAAAATTTGAAGCGCTATCATGTATTGATGAAGAAATGCTGAAGGGAACTGAACCGCAAATAGCCACAGCATTTCATTTGGTGGCCACTTTAGACGATTATTTAATGGTAGCAGGCAAGCAAAACAGTAACAGCAGGCGTAATTAGGTTGACTCGTGTCAAAGGAGCTATAACTCCCTACTTTTTCCGTGCGATTTTCCACAAAATATGAAATATGACAATGATGCTACGAATGACATTTTCTGTGGAGTTGTATATCAAGTTGGAATTGACCTCACACCAGCCTTGTTACATAAACTAGTGATGATTACCAACCAAGAGAATTGAACTATTCCTCAAAAGTTGGCAGGGATTTGGATAATTGGATCACCAATTTGCCAATATATATGAAAATCAAATATTCTCGTGATTATACGAGTAAGAGGAATATAACCACTTTCTATAAAAGAAGATAGAATATATTTTGAGCCCTCCTTCCCAGAGCTTGTTCAGTAGCCCACATTGGTTAATTTTTCCAATCCGACTAGTAGGAAGTGCTGCTCAGAGCTTTGGATTTTTAATAAAAAAACTGCGTTCCCATTGGCTTAAGGTATGGCTTTAGCCTTAGCTCCATGACTGAGTTGATGTTCCTTTTGGAATGGTAGAATCGAAGGATGGTGCTTGGACTGAAGTGTTCTATTGTCTTGTTGACGAAAGTGCTTGTCTAATTGATCCGATTGACCTATGCATTATGTTATCATTTCCATTTGGCCCTGTGCATTGTGATTAAATTAACGTTTGTGAGTAAAACATTTTTACTTTTTTATCATTACTATATGTGGCAAGTTCACGTCCTTTATCAGTGGGTACGATAACTTCTTATTATTGACGTAGCGAGAGATCTTTAGTTATGATTATCTGAATCTACGACCGCTTTAGAAAACCTCAGTGGGTAAGTTCTCTTTGTCAGCGGTGTGAAATTTTTATCCTATTCATTAATGGTGGAAGATCAGGAATGATCATTGCATATTGTACCAAAGCTTGTTTCTCGGGAGTGTTCGTGTATACTGACAATTAAAGCCGTAAATTGTGGATCACAAGTGGCTGTTTGATATGTCCTTTTTCCATTTACCCTTTGCTCTGCTATCACATGCCTCCCAGCAAATACACAAAAGTCAAAACCACAACTTTAAAGATTCACCAAAGTTTGTCGTGGGCGGCTCTACATTTATAATCTACAATTATTGAACACCAAAAGAACCACACAACTTGAATAAAATGCTATTCTTCACTTTTCAAAGGGAGCGTTGGCCTTTAAGAAAATATTCGCTTTAAGTTGCAAGTGGGTCTTCAAAATTTTATTTAAAACAAGTGAATCTTATATTATTGTTTTTGGAAGTTGTAATGTCACTTCATAGCTACATATTTGATTGTTAAAAACTATAGTTACCTCTTACCACACTCCTGTTTGGGTTCCATCTTTTGAAAAAAAAAAATGCATTTTTCTATTTTTTATTTTCAATTACATTTTTCAATAAAATAACATTACACGTAAATGTAAAAAAAAAAATCTTATTTTTTAATCATACATTTTTAAAAAAAATCACAAATTAAAAATCACTATTTCTCCCAAAAAAAAATTTTAACGGGTCCCTATTTGGGCTCAATTTTCCCAAAAACTCATCTTTTATAAAATAATTTACAAGTAAATATAAACTTATTCTTATATTTTTTAACAACTCATTCTCCAAAAAATCACTATTTCAAAACTCTTATCCCTAAAAAACATGGTCAATCAGGGGCTAAATATGTATTTAAAAATATATATAATTAATTTGTGCAAGCAATCACATGTTACTAGCTTTCTTAATTACAAAAAGATAATTTATAAATTTATTAAAGAGCATATAGAAATAATTGTTTGCTAGTATACTTTAATCTTTTAGCAGTTGTTTGAGCCCATTTTGAGAGGAAAAAAAATGCAATTTTGAATATTGATTTTTAGAGAATGTGTGGTTAAAAATTAAGAATTTTTTTCGATTAACGTGTATTATTATTTTATTGGAGAACGTGTAGTTAAAAATGAGTTTTGAAAAAATAAATTTTTATACAAATTTTTGAATGATAATGAAGTACATTCAAAAGTGGTCAACATAAATTTATTAGAAACTCTATATTATACAAAATGAAAAGTAAAGAGTTTAACATTATTCTAACAAATACAATTTTTAATGCCAATAATCTCCCGTCATAAAATTATAATTGGTAAAAACAATTAATTTTATTTTATAGCACCAATACAAAATTTTAGTTTCTTCTCAAAAAGACATTTTTATTCTTCAAAATATTTTCCAAACAATGATCCATATGACCTGATGACCTAGTATCTTGACTAGATCAATTATCGGACCGAGTCTCATTACTATGATTTAAAGTCAATACATATCAATCGTGAAACTTAGTTGCAACGAACCAATCGAAAAATCAGAAAAGAAAATATTAAAGCGAAGTACCCCCCATCAATAGGGGCGAATTAGCATGGAGGCATGGGGACCATTCCTCTGCTTTTAAAATTTAGTTTTGAGTATACAAGGATAATCATCCCCAACACCAAAAAAATAAATAAATAGATAAAAAAAAAAAAAAAATCAAACTAATTAGTGATAAAACTTTCAATTTTTGGTAGGATACCTTATCCCGCTTAAGACAGGTCGGGTACCCATTTGCTCCTTTAACATTATTTATTTATTATTTTTTGAATTAGATTTTATTTTGAATTTTTTCAAATAATAATAAAGAGGACGGGACACCCCCCCCTGCCAAGGAAAAATTTTATGTCTAAGAAATTAAGTAAAATCTATTTCAAAACTAAGAAACAAGGTTTATTATTTCAAAAATCAGATACTAATTAAATTTTATTTGTGAAATAATTAAGTAAAAATGTATTTTATTCACTAAATATATTAAAGTCATAATATTATATAGTTTACGATCACAGTTATGTATTGGTCAAAATTAAGGACGTCACAGTCACAAATCACAAAACTTATAAGTCACAACTTATTTAATAGTCACAAAATATTAAATTAATTGGTTGTAAATTATTTATAGGTCACAAAGTAACAAATTATCAGTCACAACTTAACAAATTTTTAAAGCACACATTATCTATTGGTCAAAAATTATCTATTTCATTGGTCATGTATTGTTTATAGGTCACTCATTAATCTATTTATTGGTCACAATAAACCAAATAATTGGGGACCACCACTTCACTATTGCCTCCAGCACTATCGTCGCCATCGGAGCCACCACAACCGCCTCACGACAACCGACAGCACCACCTCCATTGCTCCAACAAACTAACATCCTCCAACACCACCTCACCACAATTGCTAACACCATCATCACCAAACCATCACTTCACCAACATTTGTAAAACACAAATCAATGATGGCCTTGGTGTGTCTTACTCTTGTTCTGCTTCAGCCAGATGAATCCCAAAGTCGTAGCGGTTTGAAAGCGGCGGTGGTGCGGAGCACATCTTCTCTCCGTAGCACGTCTTCTTGACGGTGGTGCTTCTCTACACAACACATCTTCGCACGAGTCGATGCTGGGTACACCACCTGATTGGGTGGCCGCTACACCACCAGAACAACTGGTTCAACGCTCTCCGAGTGAGGCACCACTGGGCGCACCCACCTTCCTGCCCAACCGTGGGATGAGGAGTGCCACGTGTAGTAAGTGGGGCCTCACTATCGTAATGTGTCGTTGCAAGAAGTGCTGTGTCGCGCAGCACCATTGCAAGGTGTTGATCGATCGATCGAAATACAGAGAGAGAGAGAGAGAGATTAGGGTTTGGTTGTTTGGGAGATGGAATCGGGGTGTGGATGGTTGTTAAATTTTATTTTTATAAAAATTAAATTATAAAAAATTTTAATTATCTACCAATTTTTGAAAAAAAAACTTATAAATCTTAATTTTGCATTGTTAAGTTTAAAACTTCGGTTGCTTGTAATTTCCACCTCTATCAATCCCTACTAACCCGATGGGGCGAGGAATTTTTGCCACATTCTAGTTGGGCTCTGCATGATTTGGGTCGATTAGATTGTTTAACGTACCTAAACAGAGTCGATTTCAAACCCTATCCAATACTTTTCATATTTTTTTTTTCCCTTTAATCTTGAGAAATTTGTGCAATTACACCCCAATTTTAAGGTACCTTGCTAATTCCTCCCAAACCTTTAGTACCAATTCCTTATTTCATCATTTTTACATAATTCTTTCA